TTTAAGCAGAAGATAATAAGAAAGAAGAGTATAACGAAGTTGTATATGAAGAAGAAGAGGAGGAAGAAGATGAAGATGAAGATGAAGAAGAGGAAGAGAATTTTTGCCAAAAAGATTCAAATTCAAAAACTTCAATTGTTATATCCGCACATAATGACCAAATAGAAATAGAAAACAATAATAACATCAAATTGAACCTAAGCAACGAAATTAAAAACTATATAAAAGTAAATATATTTTTTATTTTTTATAAAAAATTGAAAATAAATATTAATTTTTTATGCACAGAATGAAAACGATTTAACAGAAAATAATTTAATATTAGAAGAAAAGGTTAAGAAATTAAAAATAGAAATTAAAAATTTAAAAGATATAGAAAAGAAAAAAAAAGAATTAGAAATCCAATTTGAAGAACTTGTAGAAAATGATAAAGCAAATAAAAAACAAATAAATGATTTAAAAAATCAAATAAATAATTGTAAATATTTTTTTAAATTTTATTTATATAACCAACATTTTATTAATTTTTTTTTCATAGTAAATAAAAAATTAAATATAGAAAAGGAAGAAAATTTTAAAATTAAAAAAGATAATTTTGATCTATCAACAGAAAACAACAAATTTACATTGACAAATAATAAGAATAAAGAAATACTAAATAAATATAAAAATGAAATACAAATACAACAAAACCAACTTGCCCAACTTATGGAACAAAATGATATTTCAATTCAAAATAAAAACAAAGAAAAAGAAACGGTAGAAAAAGATAATTTAATATTAAAATTAAATGAAATAATAACCTCATTAAACAAACAAAATGAACAATTAAAATCCTCAATTACAAACCAAAATGACTCCATCAGTCAATTGGTTTTAGAAAATCAAAATCTAAACCTACTATCAAATAAAAAACTAGACGACCATTTACTTTTATTTGACAAATTTAGTGATGAGTACGGTGAAATTTTTGATTTTATTAATAATATTTTATATAGAAAACCAAACCAAAAAGAATCCCCCAAAGTAGAAGAAATTAAACCAAATAAAGAATTTAAAACTCAGGTGGAAAAATTTAAACAAAAAATATCAACCTATAAACAATTTTTAAGTTCAAAGAAATCTATACTTAGTGGTTTTATACTAAATAATCTCAAACTAAATAACCAAATTAAATTATCAAACTTTCAGTTAATATTTATTTTAGTTGGGTACATTTTATCAATTATTATAATTTTCAAATTATTTTCATAAGAACTAAATATTTATTAAATAAATAAAAAAGCCACCTTTAAAAATAGACCATATTTTCGGAAAGTTTTTTTTTTTTTTTTTAATGATATATTAAATCATCAATATTTAAATTTATTATTTTTGGCACGTGATATACACTATATTAATATAGTGCGAAAAATGCTGTATCTAAGTTTAAAAAGTTTTATATAGCAATTATTTTAATGGGCGAGCAATATAATATTTATATCAGAGAAAATAACAGAGTATACGGTCAAAATGAAAAACATGGATGCATAGTAGTTAAAACAAAAAAAGCATATATTATTGGTGTTTATATAAAAAAAATTAGAACTTTTACCAAGGGTCAGTTATATGGAAAAGTTTTGTAAAACTTACGAAGAAGAAGATATAATCAAAGCAGACGAAAAAGAGAAATTTGTTTTTTAATTTATAAAACTTTTTAATAAAATATAAATAAATTATACATATTAATAAAAAAAGATTTATTCAAACCCTGGAAATTAAAAATATCTGGGGATTATATTATTTTATTATTTTTAATTGTTCAATAAATCATATGTATTATGACGAATATTGTTTTTTTGGATAGTAACATATCATAGTTTAAACAATATAACCTTGTGTTTGTTCTTATTAACTTGTTTTCTTTTTGGGTATAGTTTTTTAAATGTTAATAAATTGCACAAAATGTTTCATTATATTAGTGGACAGCGAGTTTTAAATTGTATATGAATTGACTTTTTTTCATTATGTTTGTAAATTTTATGAATGTGTATATGTATGTATTTTTAAAATTATAAGTTAGAGTGCATGTACTGTGCATATGTATATGTGAATGTGTAAATCTTAAATAATTTTGGGACTTCTTGGTTTTGAAGATTTTGTTCATCTATTACTTTTTATTTAAATAAAAAATATAGTTGTGTTGGGTGGAACTACTTGGTTAAAACGATTACCGAGTGTGAGTGTTGTGAGACTATTTGGTAATGTGCCGGGTAGAATTACTTGTTTAAAACATTTCCCGAATGTGAGTGTTGTAAGACTATTTGGTAATGTACTGGGTGGAACTACTTGGTTAAACTCATGACCGAATATGAGTGTTGTGAGACTATTTGGTAATGAGCCAGGTAGAATTACTTGGTTAAAAAGATAACCGAATATGAGTGTAATGAGACTATTTGGTAATGTACCGGGTGGAATTACTTGGTTAAAAAGACTTCCAAATGTGAGTGTTGTGAGACTATTTGGTAATGAGCCAGGTAGAATTACTTGGTTAAAACTATGACCGAATGTGAGTGTTGTGAGACTATTTGGTAGTGAGCCGGGTAGAATTACTTGTTTAAAACCATCACCGAATGTGAGTGTTGTGAGAGTGTTTGGTAATGTGCCGGGTGGAATTACTTGGTCAAAATAATAACCGAATGTGAGTGTTGTGAGAGTGTTTGGTAATGTTCGGGGTGGAATCACTTGGTTAAATTTAGCACCGAATGTGAGTGTTGTGAGACTATTTGGTAATGAGCAGGGTATAACTACTTGGTTAAACTTAGTACCGAATGTGAGTGTTGTGAGACTATTTGGTAATGTGTTGGGTAGAATTACTTGGTCAAAATCATGACCGAATGTGAGTGTTGTGAGACTTTTTGATAATGTTCTGGGTAGAATTACTTGATTAAAATAATAACCGAATGTGAGTGTTGTGAGACTATTTGGTAATGTACCGGATGGAAATACTTGGTTAAAACAACCACCGAATGTGAGTGTTGTGAGACTATTTGGTAGTGTACCGGGTGGAACTACTTGGTTAAAACAATAACCGAATGTGAGTGTTGTGAGACTATTTGGTAATGAGCCAGGTAGAACTACTTGCTTAAAATCATTACAGAATCTGAGTGTAGTAATTGTATTTGGTAAAGTTTTTCGAGGTAACCTTTTAGAAAAATTGAACAAATATAAATTTGTCAAAAATGGTGGAAATTCATCTTTATCTGGTAGTGGATCACCACGCCAGTTAAGTGTTGTTATATATGATTTATCTTTAAACTGGTCATAGCTAGATTTATCAAGATGTTTATCACTATGTTCAATAAACTTTAAAATATGTTTATGAATTTCATTCCTTAAAAATATATTATTCCAAACTAAATATAATAATCTATAATAAAAAGTTAAAAAGAAAAAACTAATTAACATGCTTTTAATCTATTATTTATATTTATTGTGTTATATGGTATTGTGCTTACCTATCACTAATATTACCACTGTTTTTTAACTCTTCATTTACGCCAAATTTAATTAGAGATGATAGCGGCCCATCCATTGTTAATATAAAAAAAAATAAAAAAAATAAAAAAATTATTTTAAACAAATAAAAATTAAAAAAATTAAAAAATTTTCCCAAAAACTTGATTAATCAGAACAAAATTAAAAAAAAAATTTCAAAAACAAAAAAAAAACAAAATAAACTTTTTTTTAATAGTTTTTAAAAATAATTTGATTGTTTAAATTTAAAGTATTGCTTGTCTTTGAAAATCTTTTAATTCTAGCAAATACATTTTCTATAACTATCCTGATTTATTAAACAACAAGATAAAATTCAAACACCTGAAGGAAGGCCAATGTGCAATACCTTTCACTTTTTGGAAAACAAGACGAACAAGAAATCATCCAAATTTGATAAAATAGGACTTGTAGAGGGTCAAATTGAATATCAAAATGAAGAACAAATTCAATTTGAGGAATATAATCAACCATTGTTTCAACAATATGAAATTTATGAGCAACAACCAATTCAATGTTTAAATAGAGAACAACAAGAGTTATATAATGACTCTTCTATCCAAAATAGATGAGCAAAGATAAAAACAAACTGTTTTCCCTCTAAAATATATAATGATTAAAAAACAGTTTTTTTTTTACATTTTTAATTTTTTTAATAGAAAAAAAGTTTTTTTTGAATTAATTTTATGGGGGTTATAATATTTTTATATTTGTGAATTTTTTTTGATATTGTTTTTTTAAATAACAGATTGAAAAATAATAATCTTTATTATTAAAAAATATTGATGAATTAAGTGATAATAATAAAAAAATTAAAAAAAGTTAATTATAAATTTTATTTTAATTACAAAAAATAGATTTAAATAATTTTTTTTAAATTTATATGTATAATTAAAGTCAGTAATTTTAATTTATTTTTTGTTTTTGGTTTGTTCTACAACTATTTATTTTTTTACATATAAAAATCTGTATGGGAAATAGAAATAAATAAATAAATGAGTATAAATAAAAATATACACCAGTGTATATATTTATTTTTTATTTAATAAGAAAAATTTATTTACAAGTTAATAATAATTTATTTTCCATTTTATAATCTCTTATTTCCTTCGGTTCCATGTCTAAAGGCTTTGATTGTTCCTTTTGATGATGCATTTGGGGTTTATTGAACAGTTCTGCATCCCATATGTTCTAATTTATTTATTTATTATTTTTACCTTTGGGTTTTTTATTTAATTTTTAACAATGGTTTTTAAAACACTAAATAGCTCTTTTCTTTTTGGTTTATTATATGTTTTATAAAATATATTGTCGAATTAAAATACAACTAATAAAAGATGATATGGGTGAAATAATAAAAAATAGAAATTTTTTTTTTTAAATTTTTTTCAATTTTTATAAATTATTGATAAGAAATTTTTTATTGCTTCCACCCCATAAAATGAAACCTTTATCTAATGTTTTTGTATATAGTGTTTTGATTTAATTAATTATAAATAATAATTTCTTTCTTTTAATTCAATCAATATGAAACACACCTGATGCAGATGTTCTTTAAATATTTCCTCATCTTTTGGTTTCACAATAAGTTGTAAAATAGAGATATTAGTTATTTTTGATAATTATTTAACTATCAACCGTTCCTTGAATTGAACAATGATAGTTTCTTAGAAAAGTCTATTAAAATATAAAAATAAAGTTACTTTCCTTAGAGTTGACTTTTAGATAAAATAAAATCTATAGTTACTATATTAATTAAAAACTATTATTATAATTTTTAATAATGATTTTAACCATCTTTTATTCCTTTTTTAGTAAATTTAAGAATTTCATTTTTTTTTAATTAAATTTTTTTTTTTTCTTTTTTTAATTAATAAGGGTTATAGTATTTATTATTTCTACAACTACTGCAACAACAACAATAATGGCAACAATAAAGACAACAACTACTACATCAATGACAATAACAACTTCTATAACAACCCAATACTGAATTGATACGTCTTAGAGAGTTAAAACTACAAAGACAATTTGAACAAAAACCATTTAAACAACAGAGCCATCAATTTAATTGTAGAAGCACATCAACTTATTATCAACAACGACCAAATGCTCACCCAGAATCAGAAGCTTCTCCACCACGTAATCAAAATGAATCAGATTATATTTATAAAAGAGAACCATCAAACTAGCCATCATTTAACAAAAATGAATCACGTTATTCTTTTTCTGGTGAACCAAAATCATACCGGTATTCCGAATCACCTAATCAAAACAGTGGAGAACCACCTTTTGTTGAGTATGAAAAAGGGAGAATTGGTTCATTTTCATAATCAATGTGTTTAAAATAAATATATTAGACAATCTAATCAACACTGGGTCAAAACATTTTATTACATAACCAATTACACTCAATGTCAACTCATTTTTTTTCAATAACCTTTATTTTTTTTAATTTAAGTTTAATAATTTTTTATTAACAATTTTTATAATTATTTTTATTTCAATTTTTTTATTACAACACACAAAAAAGAAAGTAAGTATATGCACATTAAAACAAAAAAACAAACCAATTCGAAATTAATGTTGAAGAAATAACTTATTTGAATTTGAAAGACTAATTTTTATTAATTTATTAAAAAATTGGTATACAAATTTAAAACCAATATCCAGTACTCTTTCAGCATCCTCTATAAACCAAATAAAGAATTTGTATATGTTGATCAAAAGCAGAGTAATAATAATTTTTATTTTCTTTTTTTTTTTATAAAATAAATTAAAATTAAATTTATATAATAATTTTTTAAATATTTTTTTTGCTTTGTATTTAACTAATTCGCATCCAAATATTTAATTTTTTGATAAATAATTATAGAATTTCCAAAGATAATAAATAAAAAAATAAAAAAAAATAAAAAAAAATAAAAAAAAATTTAAATGAAAAAGTATTTCGTATATCAGAGAGAGAATTTAATTAAATAATATTTTATTAAAATACTCAATTTATATAAAATAAAGGTAAACTAAATGAAAACTTTATGTATACTATTAAAAATTCAAATTAAACAGTATAGTATTGTTTTTTATTTTTTTTTAATTTTTTTAATTTTTTTTTTATTATTAAATAATAATTTTCATTTTGTTATATTTTCTTTTTTTTTTTTTTATTTGTCATAAATTATTTTCCTTTGTTATATAATATTAAAAAATTTTTTTTGTTTCAATAAAAAATTAAAGCATACAAACTTCAAATTCTTTTGTGTTCAGTAATACTTTATTTTTTTACATTACCAAATTCATTTTTTATAAATTTTGGTCAATCATTATAGTTTTTTTATTATTTATTTATTATTTTTATTTGTAAATAATTACTAGCAATTCATTTTTAATAGAAATAATAAAAAATGTTTAGTTTAGATAATTTAGATTATTTAGATATTGTTTTATTTATTTTTGTTTTTTCTTTATTTAATTTCGTTAGTACCGCAATCATCATCAAATATTATTGTCCACAACATCAACAAAATAAGAATGTTGAAATGTTTACTAAAGAAGATGTTGATCGTCTTATGGAAAATCAAAAGAAAGAAATCATCATGAAGGTAAGTTTCATTTAACACAAACTATATTTACAATTTATTAATTTTTTTTTAAAATATTTAGTTTTCCAAAGAAAGGGCAATTCTATCAAAGGAAAATGCGGTAATTCAATCAAAATTTGAAAAAAAACAAAAAAAATCTTTAAAATTAAAAAAAATGCTATCTGCTTATGAAAATGAAATGGGGGAGATACTAGGTCAACCTTTATCATTAACAGAATCAGCAAAATTAAAAAATGCATTAGATGAAAACGAACAATTAAAAAAAGTAAATATTTAAATAGAAATAATTATTGATAAATCAATATTAATATTAATTATTAATGATCAACAAATGTTTATTAATATTTAATATTATAAATCAAAACTTCATTTTTACTAATATCTAATTTTAATTTTTTTTTATTCTTTTAATTTAGAAAACCGTTGAGCTTGAAGAAACCAACTCGAAACTTAATAATGAAATAAAAGTTCAAGTTCATAAATTTAATGCCATTAAATTACGTGCCGAGTCAAGATTGGAGGATGCATCGGAACAATTATCCGAAATAAAAAAAGTTGCAAATAAAGAAATTTTAGCACTAAGGCTAAAATTAAAAGATTCAGAATCCAAATTAGCTTTGAAATCAAAACAATAAGATGATATTGCCAAATCATCTGAAGTTTTTTTTCAATAGATCCAATTTCAACAGTAAAGAATCAGAAAAAATTTCCCCAATTAGCTCCTATTCAGGCATTACGGACTCAGAATGCAAAGATTTAAGAAAACATTAAAGATTTTACACCATTCATATATCAAAACATTACACCATCACCAAAAAACAATAAATAAAAGTTTAAACAATTATTGAACTATGGTAAAAAGCCACCACTTAGACTCACTATCAAAGCATATCCAAGAGTAGATAAACCAATCAATATTTTAAAAACTAAATTATTTATAAATTTAATTAAATAATCATTTAATAAATAAATTTTAATAATTAATAGTTTTAATAATTATAATAAAAGAAAATATATTATTTCATACATAACAAAAAAAATATAATAAAATAAAAAATTTAAAATTTTTATAACTTTTAGAAATAAAATGATCTTTTTATTTATTTATTTATTTTATTGCTATCACTGTTGCCATATTCTTGACTACTGTTACTTTCACTTCTTTTTTAATTTATTTTATTATTTTCTTATTTTTCTTCATTAGCTCTTTCTCTTCTGAAAAATCTTTTTCTTTCAGAAAGTTAAAATACCACTCCTACAATTCCATTTACAAGAATATTTAAATCATTTTTTTTTTTTTTTTAAAAAAGTGAAGATAATTTTAATGCTTTAAATTAATCAGTAAAATATTTAAATCAAGACATTGAAAAAGTGTTAAAAGAATAAGAAACCAAACAAAATAGAAATTTATAATAATCATATGGAAGATACGATCTAATAAAAGATTTGCCTCAAGCCGGGATCGAACCAGCGACCTTAAGAACTTCAGTCTCACGCTCGTACCAACTGAGCTATTAAGGCATACATGATATTTAATACTATTGTTTAATTTACAATCGATTTTTTAAAGATAAATATAATTTTTAGAAAATTTTAGAAAATACAAAAATCTGATATTATTTTGAAATAGTTCCTTAATTATTAATTAAATAATCAACTACATTATAAATTTTTTTTATTTTTTTATTAATTGCTTATTGTTTTTTGTTTATCATAAACTATTTATTTGTTTTTAATTATTACTATTTATTATTTATTATTTCTTATTTATTAATACATTATAACTTTATAATAAAAATTATATTGATTTGCTTTTACCAAACATATTTTGAGTTTTCTTCCAAAATAAATTTAATTGTTCAACAAAAATAAATGTAAGGATTGTCTGTGGACCTAATCTCATGAAATATGGACCAAAACCTTTATAAAATGCACCTGGTCCTTCTTGTTTTAATGTTTTGGTTAAACAATCTATTGTACCTCTATAAACTGGCTCCCCGGTTTCTAATTTTGGTGAATTCATAACTCTAGTTTTAATTACATCCAATGGACTTGTAACTACTGATGCTACAAATGCTGCAATGGTACTTGCTCTAAAAAATTAAAATATTTTAATATTATTTTACAATCCTTTATATAAATAACAAAACTTACAGTAAGTGAGTTTTAATATTATCATAAAAATAACCACTTGCTAATAATAATTGTTTAGCTTGATCATATGATGAAATTTGACCAGCAGTCATAAACATCGCTCTGATTAAATTTGGACTGCAACCTTTCCATAAACTTAAAATACCCTCCTCTTTTGATATTCTGTATATACCACTAAATGCATTTTTATAATTTCTTCTTTGTTTGAGTGGCAGTTTACCATCAGCTTGCATTCTTACCATAATAAGATCTGCTGGAGTTCCAACAATCTTGAAAAAATAAAAGAATATTAGTATTTTTTATAAACCTAACAAATAATAATAATAGTAATAATAGTAAATGTTTCTTACAGCACCACCAGCACCTGAGAGCATACCAACAAGAACTTTTTGAAAAAATGGGAGTGGCTCTTTAATTTGGTAAAGAAAAAAAAAATAAAAAATATTAATAAATAAAATATAATAACCATAATTTAGCTATTACTACATACTATTATCCTTTATAAACATATCTTTAAGGACATCATATAATCCAAATCTTGTAGTGGTATAAGTAGCTTGTCTTAAAAGTGATGCTGATAAACCTTTATATAATGTGAAAAAACCTTCAGTTTGATTAATATGTACTAACATTCTAAAAGTTCCTTTTTTTGCACTTGAGACTGCACCTGATCCTTCACCCTGTAATTGCATTCTTACCTAAAAATTTATAAAATAACCAATATTAGTAACTCTCTAATTTTTTATTCCTATCCCGATAAATAAATTCTATTGGATCATTATTGGGGGAAAAAAATAATAAAAAAATAAAACCATTATAATAAAATACCTTTAAGGAATCAACTGGATGAGTAACTGCAGATGAAAGCATACCAGCTAAACCACCAATTACAAATTGCATTAATTGAGAATTTGATGCATTTTCTAAAAATATTAAAATATATTATTAAAATTAATTTACAAGCAAAATTTTTTTAGTTTTATCAAAAAAAATGAATTTACTGTTATCTTTTGTGTTTAGAGTTGTCGACATTGTTTAAAATTAAATGAATATCTCCAATGTCGTGTTGATAATTACGTCTTGAACATATAAATTAATTTTTTGCTGTTTTTTTTAAATTTAAAAAAAAAAATATAAAAATTTAAAAAAATATTTTTAAAAAAAAAAAAAAAAAAATTTCTTTGTATAAATTTTAAATTTTTCTTTATAAAAAAAATTAATTATTTATTATTTAAAAAATATTTTATTTTAATAATAAAAAAACAATTAAAATAAATTGATTAACCTTCTATTTTTTTTTTAAAAAATATGCCAATTTGAAAAAAAAAAAAAAAAAAAAAAAAAATTTTAAAACAGATAAAGTTTTTTAATAAATAAGAAAAAAAATTAAATATTCTTTTTTTTTTTATTTTTTTTCTAAATATAAAAAAAAAAAGTGAGAATTAAATTTAAGTTTATAAAAAATACAATTATATTATGTTTATATTATTATTATTATTATTATTATTGTTATTGTTATTAATTTGATTATTGATTATTGATTATTTTTTTTTTTTTTTTTTTTTTTTTTGAAATTTTAGTTAGAGTTATTACTTGATGTATCAGAAGATGTTTCGCTATCATTTGCACTGGCATTACTATTTTCAACTTTTTCAGCTTCAACTTTAGTTGTTGGTGGTACTTGTTCCTGATTTTCTACAACAGTTGGTTCATCTATTTTTTTTTCAGTATCAGTTTCAACAATTGGTTTAACTTGTGATGATGATAAAGATATATTATTATTACTGCTATTTAAACTTATATTATTACTATTATTATTATTTATATTTGATTGTGGTGAAGAATTATTTGTATTATCTAAAATTTCATTATGTGATGAAGAGGTTGCTACATTGTTTGAAGAGTGTGGGTATTGTTGAAAATGTTCCTCAGCTGAGGCAACAACTGTAGTATGTGATGGTTCTAATTGTTCAAAAAATAGTTCAACATGGAAGTCTTCTGGATATGATTTATGATTTTTATCTTTATGAGCTTTATCGAGACCAATCTTTGGAATGCTTTCGTGTTGTTGTACAAATGAAGTATTGATCCAAAACATAAACATACGATCACCATTTTTGTCAGTGAACTCGATTCTAATATCACCCAATAATGGAAGGCTACCAATTTCAAAAGCTATATATTCTTCGATGATTGAAGCATCGCCAGCTAAATCACTTAAACTAAATTGGCTACCACCTAACTGTGAGAGAGTTTGACTACTAATTGTGTTCATACCGGCGTTATTTGTACTACTGCTAAGTGAGGCACCACCATTAACTGATTGCATTGATGGGGAATGTTCCAATTTGGCTTCGCTGTTTTCTTTTGATAATTTTTTATCTTTTTTATCTTTTTTTGATTCCTTTGGGCTCTTTTCTTTCTTTTTTTTTTCGGTTTTGTGAATGATAACATTAACAGAGTCTTTAGAGGTAAAAACAGATGTCTTGCCAACTGAAATATTGAATTGAATCTCTGACAGGTTAATTTCTTTTGGAAGTGGTTTGAGGACGATTTTTTTTAATAATACAGTACGAGGAACATATTTGATATTTTCTCTTATTGATTTACCAAAGTAATGAACATATCTAATTTGAGATGGAATTGTGACACCTTTTTGATTATAGGTACGAAGTGCTGCATAGAAACGTAATGAATCTTCTGTGTTTTTCCACATACCGCAATACATTAACCAACAACAAATCATTAGACCAGTTCTACCTTTACCTGCTTTACAATGAATAACTGCAACATTTTTATCGTCCTCCTTCATCCAACTATCTACATCTTTACAAAATGATTCAATTAATTCAAATTGTGGTGCATTATGATCGTCAAATGGATAATATCCAACACGTCCATAGAATTTTGAATGATCATAAACACGTTCTGAACATAAATTATAAACCTTGTAGTGATCCTTGTGATATTGATCTAAAAATCTTTGAACATCCTTCATTGGATTTCTAAAAACACCCTCTACCTTTTCACTTGGAAAACCCATTGCAATAATATTATCAGTAATATCTTTATTAAATTATAAATAATATTATAAAAATTCTATTAATAAA